AGCCAATAGTTGTTAAATAATAAAATTGATGAAAGTGTATTTAATTACTTTTATTTTTAAAACTAAAATATTAAATATTTGAAAACGCAATTAACGTTATTTCTTTTCGATTTAACCAAGACAGCGTTAATTTTTAACCCAATCCCCATTTTTTATTATTTTATGAAGTTGAAATTATTTTTAGATGTTGGATATGCAATAATTTTTGATAGAAGAAGAATTAATAATAACAGGAAAGAAAATAAAATAATTATAATTAAAAATTATTTAATTGGATTAATGAAACATTATGATTTACATTATTTAGTTGTTGGTTTAACATATTTTTCTTTGTTTCAGGAACACCAGTTATAAATATGTTAAATAAGTCATTTACTTGAACATTGTATAATGCTGACGTTTCAAAAAAAGCACAAGGACAAATACTGCTAATCAAAGAAACTAAATTTTGAGCTTCTAAAGCAGAGACTTTTCGTTGTTTTTTCAAATCACATTTATTTCCTACAAGGATTATAGAAGGCATTGTCTCTCTTCCACTACTTAAAAGAATAGAAAGTATTTGTTTTAAATCTCTTTTTCCTTGAATGAATGAATTTTTATTATTAACAGAATAAACAAAAACAATGTAATCACTTTCAGCATAATGTACTTCTTTTAATACATTAAATTGACTATCTCCAGAAGTGTCAATAAGTCTAAAATGAAAAGTATTATTTTCATGTTCTAAAGTTTTGTTATAAATATCTTCTATCGTTGGCTCATAGTTTGATATAGTTTCTCCATACATAAATCTTCTTATAAGAGCAGTTTTCCCAACATTCATTTGTCCAACAAAAGTTATTGTTGAGTAATGCTCCATTATTTAATGAATATGGTAAAAAAGATCTCTTTTTCCATGGGTTGTTATATCGTTCGATCCCTTTTTTAGGAATTTATTTCTTTCCAAGAGTTACTTCGATTCGGTTCCAATTTAAGACGAGTTTAATTCCTTTTCCAATTAAAGAATCTATGATACTTATATTATTTCTAAAAGAAATTTCCACATTCCACTTTCTTTCATTTTTGTTTTTTTTTTTTTTAATAGGGCTATTGAAAAAGAAAACAATTAAATAAATTAATAACTATTAATATCGTTAATGACGTGCAAATTTCCATTATTTTATTCATTTTAAGATAGTTTTTTTTTAAAGAAAACTGTTTTATTACCCTGAATTTTATTAAAAATGTCTGACAAGGAAGAATGAGTCAAAATAACTATTAACCTTTGGTTTCTTAATTAATAACTAGGGACAATAATCAATTCTTAACCAAATATAATACTATTTAATTGAAACCAAATATCACTTGCTAGATTAAAAATGCAATGTGTTTTATTAATTTCTATTAAACAGCTTTTAGAAATTTCATTTGTACAACAAGTACTATTTTGTTACAAGTATTAATTCCTATTATTATTATAAATACCAAAAAACTTTTTATGTAATTAAACTACTGTTTATACTGACAAAGGTTTTACAATAATTATTATTGTCCATTTTCTTTTTGATGTTTTTCAACTACTTACCACTCAAACAAGTTTCAAAAAAAAACTACAAAATAAAAGAATTTTATTAAATCTTCTATTATAAAGAAAAGAATTTAATTATTTTGAACTAAATATTGATAATAACATTTTATTGATATTATTTTTTTTTCAATACTTATAATAGTATAATGATAAAATATAATTAATAAATTAATAAATGTAATTTTCAATATATTTAAAAAGTAAATTTGAAATTACAATGAATTAAAAATGATTAAATTATTATTCCCTTATTTATTTTAACTTTAAACTTAATAAAAGATTAATCAAATAAGTAAGGTTATTTCTTAAACTAAGTTAATACAAGTTATAACTTCAACATTTAATTTTTGTTTTTAATTAAAATTTTATTAATATTTTAATTGTTTATTTTTATATAAAATCATTACGTTTAAAACATTATTTTAATAAATTTAATATTATAAAACAAATTATTTAATATCTATCTTCATTTTTGTTATTTTATCTTTTATGATGATATACTATGTTATTTTTACTCATGTACGTGAAACTTTAATCTCTTACATATTTCTTCTTTTGTTTTTAAAATTAAACGTCTTGTTTTATCCTCAAACCTTCTTCTAAAAGTGTTTTTGTTAAATATATCTATATAAAACATTATATTAGACTAGTATAATATTATAGACTATTCATTAATTAAAGTCTTTATATTATGTTTCAAAAACCAGTATGATATTACATAATTTAGTGATAAATGTATTAATAACAAAAAATTTGATAAATCATTTCATTGGTTAGCAGGCAATTGAATATTGTTGTACTTAAAGAAAAACATTCCCACAACAATCAAACTACCTTTCTTCTAATACCTTCAATTCATTTGTTTATATTGTACATTTCTCATATCAATAAATCCTTAACCAATTGCATATGATACTTTTGTAGTAATAAAAGTACATGTTCTAATAGGTGAATTTTTAACATTAACAGGTAGTCTGAAGTTTCTTGAATAAGTTGGTATTGATAATATCCATCTTTAAAGTATTTTATTAAACTACTAATATCTAATTCATTTATTTTGATTATCCTTTTTAATTTAAATAAAATTATACAGCAAGCAACTCTTCTTTTATTATATAAAAATTCTTTCAAAATTATTTTTTTTTCTTTCTATAAAGAAAATGTAAACTTCAATAATCTTTTTTAAGTTCATTCATAAATCAATTCAATCATTACTTCTTTTTACCATATCGTTTTTCATTCTTTTTCCTTCTAATATCCGCAGCTTTCTTTTGTTCTTCGTGTCTAATCTTCATCATCTTTTTCTTTAATACTTGCTCTTTAGTTTTAACAGAAGTATTCATTTTTGCTCCTTTCTCTTTATTTTCTTTCTTTTCTTTTGTTTTACTCCATTCTTTGAATTGTTGTTTAACTTTTTCTTTTTCTTCCATTTTCTTTTTCATTTCTCTTCTATGTTGATCCAATCCTCCAGATGCCATAACGAATTTCTTTTTCTTTCTATCCCAAACTCTTTGTTTTGCTTGTGCTTTTAAATCCTCTTCTTCATCAGCTGCAATCTCAACAGTAAAGTCAAGTGGATTTCTTGTTGAATAAATAATCCTATCACTCGTATCATCAAATAATGATCTTTTCTTAGGAACAGAAGGAATATATCCAGCTGGTTTTTGCTCTTCTTCCATTGGAATTGCTCCACTTTCCTTTAACTCTTTTTCTAATTGCTCCTTTTCTTCTTTCTCTTTTTCTTCTTTATTTCTTCTGATAGCATTTATAATACGAGTAGAATGAGATAATCTTGTAGCAGCCATAACTTGTTGTTGAGTTAATTTACTTGAATCAATTTCAAACACAGTTGATTTAGGTCTATAATTTTTAATACCTTTAAGCCATTGGTCTTTAAGAATTTCATCTTTATTATCTTGACTTTTAAATTGAGGATGAATTTGGTCAATAGAAAAAACTTTAGCTTTAGAAATCCCTTCTCCACTAGCTAAAGGTTTACTTTTTTTATACATAATTAATGAATTATCACTACCTTTCTTTAAGAATTCTAAATCATAATTTCCTTTTAATGTTTCTTGAATTTGGTAAATATATGGATCAATAAATGACCTTGGAATTACTCCAAATTCAATTTCTTTATTTTCTAATGCAAACACTTGAAGGTCCATCAAATATCCTACTTCATCTGTCTGAACAAAATTATAACATTTACCCATTCTTCCTGCTCTTGCAACTCTTCCACATCGATGAATATATAATTTTGGTGTTGCAGGAAAATCATAATTAATTACATTATCAAGTTCTGGAATATCAACTCCTCTTGCAGCTACATCAGTTACTAATAAAACATGTGTCTCTTGTTTTCTAAATTTTTTTAAATTAATTTCACGTTCTTGTTGATCAGCTTTACCGAACATTATAGAAGTCTTAATCTCAAATATTTTTAATATCTCATTTAAATACTCAACTTCATGTCTTGTTGCACAAAATACAACAGTTTGTTCTTTATCACCAATAAGATCAAGTAATAAATATAATAAATGACCTTCTTTTTCATGTTCTTTAACATGATAAAAGAAGTTATCAAGATCAGGTGATAATCGTTCTTCTGTATCTAGTCTAATAATTTCTGGTTGTTTTAATGTATTTTTAAGAAACTCAGCTAAATTTCTTGGTAATGTAGCTGAAAATAATAATATTTGTCTTGTTGGTGGTAACATTCTCATTATATCTGATACTTGTTCACTAAATCCACTTTCAAACATTAAATCTGCTTCATCAAAACAAACCATTTCGACTCTATTTAATGAAATATTTGCTCCTTCTAAAATAAATGTAAGTCTTCCTGGTGTAGCAACAATAATATCTGGTCCACTACTTAAATTATCAAATTGATCACTTAATTTACTTCCTCCAATAATAAGTGATGCTTTTAAATTTGTTAACTTTCCTAATTCATTAAATACTTTAATTGTTTGTAATGCTAATTCTCTTGTAGGACAAATTATTAGTGATCTTACACCTTCTGTTGAATGTGTTTCTAATCGATTAATAATTGGAACTAAATACGCTGCTGTCTTACCTGACCCTGTTCTTGCCATAGCAATAATATCATTTCCTCGAAGAATAGCTGGAATAGCTTTTCTTTGAATTGGAGTTGGAACTCTATACCCTTTCTTTAAAACTCCAAGTAACGTTTGTTTATTTAATCCCATACTTTGGAACCCACCACTTGACTTACTCTTTTTACTTTGTTGTTCTTCCATTTAAATTATTTTCTTTGGATTTCTTTTATTTTTTTGTGTTCAAATTATTTTTAGGGTTCTTTTATTATTTTCTTTTATTATTTATTTTATTATTTGATTGTTATTTTCTTTAAAATCATTAACTTAATCTTTAAATTCATTCTTTTTTAATTCTATTTTAAATTCACTTATTTTTGAGCTTGTTCAAGATCATCTTTAAGTCTTGAATTTTCATATTTTAATTTTTCAATTTCTGCTTTTAATTTAAATATTTCAGCGTCACAATTTTCATGTTGTTTTCTAAATTCTTTTCCACTTTCAAATGTTTTGTTTGTTCTTGTTTTATATTCACTAAACAATTGGTTGGTATTTTTTAGATCAAAACTTAGTTTTTCTCTTTCTTTTTCTTCGCGTTGTAATTTACTTTCCAATTCTTTCTTCTCTTCTTCAAATTGATTCTTTAATTTTTCAATTTCTTTTTTTTGTTCAATTTGAAGTGACTCTTTGAAATCAAGCATTTCTGTTTTCCATTTCATATCGTTTGCTTCAATGAGTCTTTTTGTTTCTTCACTTCTCATGTTTTTAACTACTACATCTTCTTTTTCTTCAACATCATCTTCAACATTATCCATTGCACCATTAAGCATATCAATAATTCCATTAATGTCAGGATTTTCTTGTTCCAACTTTTCTTTAATTTCTATGTGTAAGAATAAAATATTAGTTTCTTAAATTTATTAATTAGCCAAACCATCTAATTTATTTGTTAATTCTTCGATTTGTTCACTATGAACTTTTCTAATTGCTTCAATTTTTCTTTCTAAGTCCTATTATCCATTAACACCTTTTCCTTTTTTTGAGATAGAACCACAATCTTTATATCATTAAATCAACAAACATTTGCTCTAAATTCAGCAAGTTCTCGTTCTTCTGTTTGTGTTTTATTTTCAACTTGTAATTCTACAATCTTTTTTTTTGATGCTTGAATACGTTCTGAACATGCATGAATGAAATCTATTAATTCTTCTCGTTTTGCTGTTGCCATATTAATAGATAGTCCACTTTTCTTTTTTCCTCCTTCTTCACTAGTTGACATTTTGATAATTTTTAAGTTCTTTTCTTTTCTTTTTTTCTTTTTATTTTTATTTTTCAATTTTCTCTTTTTTTTGGTTTTGGACAATCATTCAATTTAAGAAGATGAATATATTTCCAAAAATTTAGGACTATAGCTGAATTTAGTAGTGAATGTGTAATCAAAAACTAATATTGTTTGTTTTGATGATACAAAAAATATAAATAATTACAAATGAAATTAAAAGCATGTCAATAATAAATATTATACAACAAGCTTAGGTGTTGTCAAAAAATTATTAATGCTGCTAAAAGTTCATATGAGTATTAAAAGTACAGTAACTATATTTTTAAACCAATAAAATATTAAGATAAAATAATATTAAACAATAACTAATGTTTTATAAAGGAAGTGCTAAGCAACTATATTGAAAATAAAAATAATAAAATAAATATAATGACAAAGATTTAAAAGAACTTTCTCAATATATTAATTACCTATTGATTCTTTTTATATTTTTCATATTCTTTTTATTTTATTCAT